ATCCGAAAATAGCAAGTATAACACGAATAAGATTCTAGAAAAGAATTAAAACGTATAAAAAGCGGAGTATAAGATAATAATTAAATAATAATAAATAAATATTTAATTGCATAAAATGTAGAAATGAAATGTGATAAACACCGAAAGCATTGCAACTCTCTAACGGCGTCATGCGATTTCTAACCTTGATATCCATGTAGCCTTGGTGAACGAATTTGAAAAATAAAATTACTAATGACTCTAACGCTGGAGGAGGAAACGAATTCATTTTTAGCTCATCGTATACTTTTACCCCAATTTATTACGATTTTATCTTCAAACCTGAAAATGCGATGACCGCCAAAATTGTTACAAAAAGCTTCAATTTTAATCTTGTTTAAAATGCTAGTCACTCGTCCAATGTATCAGGCTAATGGATATTAGGGGTTGGATTAATTCTGTTATCAACTGCGCATTATGGTGCGGTTCCTTAAATAGAAAAATTACCTCGAATCAAGCATAACGGATCACCAAAACATGTATGTCAAGCTTGAGAGGAGGTGGGTACCTCTATGGGGCATGGTAGACGTAACCTAATTATCGATCCTGGTAAGTGAACTATTCCCAACTGTCGATCAAAACACCATCAATCAATCGAAATTTGTTTTTACGTTCTTGTGAAAAATTGAATAATTTTATCTAGCGATTGTGGTAATATGATAATAACAAATATTGCAAGCCTACGTGCAATTCCAGGAAATTTATGCTTCAAAGAGAACATGAATCAAAAATTACATCCAGTAGGATGGCCCCATGCGTGTTGTCAAAGGTTTGAGAATGACATTTTATAAATACATAATTTTGATACAGTTATTTCCGTGGCCATATACAGACAAAATTCTATTCCGGATAATATTTCATTTTTTTTTTAAATTTTGAATGATCAGTCGTTTCTAACAGATTGTGTCATTGAACCTCACATGAACGGTAACGTCATTAAAACATTTGCCGCTGTTTGGTAACCAAATAGAACACACTCACACATCAAATTAATGAAATATAATTTAATAATTACCAACATTTTAGTTCAACATTTGGTGTATCGTGTGGGCGACGTAATATATCGCTGAACGTCCAGCCAATTGAACCACAATATTCATCAAAAACTCATCATAATATAATATAGGCCTCGATGCAATTGAGACACCTCTAATTTGGTCCCCAGATGCGGTCCGGAGACACAACGGCGGAATAATTCATTATATTAAAACCGCATAAACAGAGAACTTGACCGCAAATTTGAGCTAATTTTGTTTCGTTTTAATATTCATCAATTACCGCACCATATGGAATGGATAGCTTTTATTTACAATATACTAATTTGCAAGTGAAAATACAAAATATGGATATATATAGAAAATATGTTTAATATGTGAGTGATCAGTCAACGCTTCAGCTTTATGTTCCAAAAATTTTGCGTCTGAAAATGTGATTTAAGCTCTCAGCAAACCTCTATTTATATTTTTTCAACAGCTTATATTAGGCTCAGCCAAATCACAGTGGTATCTCAAAGTCGCCGATGAATGATAGTGGCAATGTAGTCATACTCACATAGTACTGTGTAATGTGTATAGAACTCATTGCTCGTTTTAAGCAAGCAATATATTTAATGAAATATTTCAAACTTTTGTGAATAACTCTAAATAAAAAAAGAGCAACTGGTAAGGCTGTGGAGTTAGGCAAAAGCTTCATCCAAATTTGAAATAATCGATTCCGACTCCTAGAGAGCCATATTTTGAAAATGAAATTTCAACGTTTTAATTTTTTGATGAACATTTTGACTTCGACTCTACATTTTCACAAATCCTAAAACAAATTGTAAATTCAGACTGTGCCTCGACTCCAGTACAAGCAAAAACGCCAATATTCAACTCGGCAGCAATGGCTTCCGTTGGCCTGTACATTTTTGACATTATTAACTCTTCTAACTTTTCATTAAATGTAATGTAATGTTTATATAAAGTATAATATAAATTAGAACACTTCTCTGATACGAAAGAAGTTACAAATATCAGTTCTGGAATATTCTAGGTAGGCTATTTTCAACGAAGACAAAATGTATACCTGAAACCTCAACTTACGTTCGCCATCTACCTGAATATTTCGTCCCAACCTCGTTTCGAACTCATAGCAACATGGCTAGGTCTGTCTAATGACCGGAAAAACAAGACACTTCAAACGCTTAGAGGATAGATCGATATCGTCGGCAAAAAATTACCCCAGCTTTTCATGGATGACCCGTTGCAAGTAAACATGGCTCCATCAATCTTATATGTCGACAGGTTTAACACCGTGTGACGAAAGTAGGATGATCATTACATCGTCTATGTATATTTAACTAATCCTGTAACATTAATTAATACACCTTATCTACGATGTTCAGTTCTTGAATCATCGGATACCATGTATTTGCGGCCTGAGCATCAAGATTTTAATCACACTTTTTGGCGCCAAAACAGTATTATGACGTAACAAATCCAAAGCTCGAGTGGTTAAATCTTAAAGTATGTTACCCTATTTTGCGAATTCTAAGTTGTGACAAACAGTTGTTGTTGATTTGACTCATCATTTCCAATAATATGGTATTATGAGAAAATGTTTAGATTTCAGGAGAAAGGCCTGAATATTTATACAGAATATTTCACCATAATTTGAGCAATATTTTCAATTAATCAAAATTTAATATCACAGGGTACGTACGGGATAAAGGTCATATCGTGTTTCCCCGGAAATAAGACTGGGTCTTATTTCAATTTTCTTCCGGAAAATAACACTAGGGCCTATTTTGGGGGGATGTCTTATATTTTCATTTATCAAAAATATAATTACAAATTAGAAAATTACGAGATTTTAAAATATATATACAAAATATAAAAAACGATATCATTTACTTATAAATAACACGTTTTCAAAACTGCAAAACATAGATTATCAATATTTAAGATTTAACCACTCTAGCTTTGGATTTGTTACGTCATAATACTGTTTTGGCGCCAAAAAGTGTGATTGAAATCTTGATGCTCAGGTCGCAAATACTTGATATCCGATGATTCAACAACTAAACATCGCAGATAAGGTGTATTACTGTTACCCACTGTGGCCCATCACCACTTTTAAAAATGAATGCGATGTATTCTCAAACATTTATTATCAAGTAAATCATCAAGTAACATATGCTTGTATGGCATAACGTTGCAAAAACTGCATGCGATACACAATAAATAAACATGACCAGAATCAAACTGCTCGAAACGTTATTAATAAGAGAATGTCGCTATTTCCTCATCTATTTGCAAGATGAAACTCTCAACAATTTGCGCTGTCCGATTTTGTAAAAGTCTTTATCATTTTGATTTAAAGTTACTTCTACAGGCCAATTTGCACTTTTGATTCTGATTTGGTTCTGAATGCATCTAGCATCTTTCACATCAAATAAATCACCTTATGTGTGACCAGAGACCATGTGGAATTAAAAACAATGGATTTCGTATTCCCTGTATTTTAGAAACAATGCTGAGATTGATACGATGACAACGAAATGACGTAGATTCGTTCTATAGTTACTCAATTTAAAGAGCGACTGATCTTCAGAATGACGATATAACACCGGTGACCCATGATTTATTTCTTAAGATTTCTCAAATTCGTGAGAATATGATGTGAGAGATAAATAACTGTTAATTGAGCTTATGTTCCGAATTGTGTGGCTATGCGAGTTCGTATATACAAATGCTGATAAATACAAAAAAAATAAGTTAAAAATTATATATGAGGGCATTTTTTGAATATAATTTGGCCAGTAAAATATTTTTTGTTTCGTTTTTTCCTTCAAAATATCCAATGTCTAGGAGGAACAATTGGGGTGATATGTTTTCACATCATTGATCTTTGTCTCCTTTGATCCAACTGCTTGAAAGCGAAAATTTCACATCTTGTCTATTTTACAAAAACGGAAAACGTATTTAAATACAAATTAAATAAAAAATTCCAAAGTGTGTATTAGGTTCATGTTGCATTATTGCATATATTGAAGAAGCTTTGCGACGTAGTCAAATAGGTATTACACAATGCGGGTATTGGATGCGATTCAATTTGCATTTTATTTTAACCTACACAATTTCTCTCATTTGTTGTTTATGAATATTCAACGTAATTGTAAATCTGCAGTTGGAAGACGATGCTACATGCCATTTCATGGTGTTCAACAATCAACGTTGCCACGAAATGATGCCATAAAGCAGTTAGGAAAATCATTAACTTTCTCAATCCATTCGATGTTGTGAGACCGTGACTAAACAAACACATCAGCTTGCGAAACGGTCCTGCAGTTTGGTGTAAGCCAGCATAAAGTCAACGCTCCTTGTACGATTTTTTTATGGCAAAACATAAGGATAACCGTACAAACAGGTGTGATTTATATTTTTGAAAAGGAAGATTGTCACCAACTCCATGACTAAATCAGATTCATTATTATAGGGAGGAGTGTTAATAGAAACTGTTCTAATCTTATGCTTACTATCTATATTAGCGAGGGCACTGGGCAGGGGGAATATTCACTTGGCTAACACAGACAGTCACTGAACTCGTAATAGAGCTGAAAAAAGGAAAATCGGAATAAAATTATGACCTAACCCTGACCTGGTACACACACTACGGGAGTATCGTAGCGAGTGGCCATTGCCCAGTGACGAGTAGAAATGTTGTCTTCAGTGTAAAAAAGTCACTTGCGTTGGGTAACGCTCCTAGTTTTGTCAGGGAGTCATATCAATAAGGCTAACCTATTTAAACTGACGGTAATGGTACATCAGTACTATAGTTACTCAATCAACTATATCGTACAAAGTCCGAATGCTTCGAAACCCCACCATTGCTGACAAGGCTGATTTTAATACGTCATCTCATTCATTGTGTATCAAAACTCGAGCAGACTATAGTGTATTTTTATTACTCTTATATATATATACATAACCTGGGAGTTGGGTAATATTACAACAAGTGACGGTATACATGATGTGGGTCGAGGTAGCACAAAGGAAAGAAGACTGGGATGAATTTTTTGAAATTTGTGGAAGAGAATTCGTGGATTCAGCATTCGCGAGAAGATATCTTCCAGACATTGAAAAAAGAAAACTTTTAATGCCGTTATATTTCCGATACCTGTATGAAGTAAGAGCTTATAACATTTTAAAATGAATGTTGTAATGTTTTTAGCAATGTATTTGCTTTTTGCATATAGTCTCGTTACTCGGAAGATCAAGGAATGTTGTTTTTGGTGAAAACAAAAAACGAAAAAAACAAAACATCAATCGTGGCAGGATGGTTAGCTATTTGTGATTTTTCGCCGCGTCAAGCAGATATCACAAAGATGGTCGAAGTTTATAAGGAAGGAACCGACCTATTGATGAAGTAAGTACTACAGAACAACGTATTGCTTACTTTCACTTCGTGGATCGGTAACATGGTATTAAGCGAAAGCTTTTGCGCTTCTCTACGAGTCAATATACCACACAGTAGGCCTAACTGCATTAAGTCCATATATTGTGAAATTGCAAAATCGAAGTGATTTATGAGAAGTAAAAAGTACATTTATAACTATAACATTCAGCAAAGAAGTAAAGCGAGACAGTTAAGTAGCAAAACCATATTATGTGCTTTTGGTCTGCACGGACTTCGTCGCTTTCTAAAAGCGCTTAAGACTCTCTGTTTAACAGACGCGCAAAAATCCTGAAAAGTATTGTACTCATTACTTATCGATTTTACTCGGTAAGTATGTTGATAGGTGTTTGTTACTTATCTATTTTAATCGGTAAGTATGTTGATAGGTATTTGTCTGTCTGTATGTCTGTTTGTCTGTTAGATGCACGCAATATATCACGAAAGCGAGATTGAATTTGCTCCAGATTTTGCATGTGCATTCATCTTATCTCGGACCAGAAGCCTATTGATTTTGGGCGAATTATGTCGTATAATTAGCGAGTTAATAATTAATTAGTGATGGGACACAAGGTGTCACTATGGAGTAATAGCGCTGTTTTGGGGGATCCCCCCCAACTTTCGATCGATAAGTTTTCGGTCTCTGACCGATATTCTCATTTGTCTATTATTTGCTTTCTCAATTCTTATTAATATACGTATATTGTAACCATTTTATTATTTTCGGTAAATCAGAGTGGAAGAATGGCGTGCAAAAAATATTCATCAAGTTATTGAAAATGCTGCAGAAGACCTAAACATGAAAGCGATATATGGTTCTCGAATGGTTGTGGTAAAAGCATACGCAGGTCAAAATATTTTAAAAAGACATTCCGATGAAATGTTGCATTTGTGTTCAAAAGAGACGAAGAAAAGATATGGAAACAATACAAGTTTCTTTCTCTATTGGACCAGTTTGGAGAACAAGCTCATTGGCCAAACATATAGGATAGCTCATCTGCATTATAATTACCAACCTGGACTAAAATGTTTCGAAGATTCGTCTGCAAAACGTGAAATCGAAATAAGCTGTCATTTCGTCATGGCAGACCTGGAAATGGTTGAAAAACTAAGGCAATATTTTTCTCTCCTAAACAAATTGTGATGTAATTAAATCAATACTTTATATATAAAGTACTCAAATTGTTCTATACTACATAATATGTAATATACAGGGTTTCCCCCTCCCCATTCCCATAAAAATAAATTAACCCATAAATTTCTTAATTACTTCTATGAAAATTAAAAAAATTCATTTCAGTTTTTTTTTGCGCATGATCTTGGAGTTACAGAAATCTAGAAAGATTTGTACAAAAGTTATGTTCTCTCAAGAATATGTTCTAAGTAAATGACCCTCAGAGAGAGAGAGAGAGGGATTTATTGTCACAGAAACAAAGCCAGCACTATTATAAACATAATCCAATGAATAAATATTTCAACAGTAATTGTTTTTCGTTTTATGCGGGTCGGTGTGCAGGACCGATGAAGGTCACTTAGGCTTACGGCCCTTGTGTTTATGCTATATATAAGCTCATCACGGCATAGTATAGTACCATAAGTGAAATCAAATGAGATTAAATATAAAATGTAAATAAGATAAAGAAATGAGTAATTACCGTATATCGGAAATTTAAAGTTACTATCAAAGTCATCGAAGGCAATTTAGGGTTTTAACAGGTCAAGTATTGTTTGAAGCGGGGCACGCCCAGTAAAAGAACTACAACAATCATAAAGATATCACAATGTTTTTTTATTGGACATAGACCGGAATCAAAATAGAAAATAGGGTTAAGAAAATTATATCATCTTATCACAGATTCAGCAATGGAGCGCATGACGTCAAAGTATCATTTGACACCCTAATTAGGTAAATTAATTAACAAAATAGAAAAAACAGTAACAATCACTGAATATTGTATAGTCATATAATATTAATGACGCCAATCGAAAAAAGGCTGGAACTTCCGAACTTAAACTTTTCAATAAATTTCGATGACAATTCATACAAGTGAGTAAAGTAAATCATTTTTTTACAATGCTTCTTTTTTTTTTATTAAATAAAAAAATTTTCATCTACGAAGCTGGGCTGCGAAAGAGCTAACCCGCCCATGTTTCACCTATCACAAATATTACCAAAGAAATCAGATCGATAATAAACGAACGCGGTAAGTTTTGCCATTCAGGGGCACCCCTATCAAATCGCATTAAATTGAGAATTAAATAGTGTTCCTTACGTTTGCACTTTCAAATTTCATATAAAAAAGATTGAAAATTCTTCTAAGCCCTGTAGTTCTGATCAGGATTGATGTTAACTATGGCGGAAGCCTATGCCGTGGGGAGGGCCATAAGCAGATCCACGATGTATTTCTCGATGCGTTTTTATTTAGTTAAACCCGACATTACGTATATAGTCTTGTGTTGATGATGAGTCGCCTGGTCATTGCGCTATAATACAAACATTTTACTCCTATTTGACATTTAATTTATTCATTGTCATGTACAACATCATCTATAATTTATTTTTAAAGTCACGTATAGGTGGCCTCATAATCAGAAACACACCCTAGGCAGCAGAAAAGTTTGGCACGCTCCTGTCCATAACTTAAAGTCAAACCGAAAAGCCTTCAAGATATAATGTGATTAGTATCTTACGCTCTTTGACGCGCAATACGTCTCGATCGTACGTAGCACCAACTTCATGACGTCAGCCTGGCGCTCGCATTTTGTGTAGATACGTAATCAGTACGTCATGTTTGCGTATCTGCGTTCGCCATCCGACACAAGAATTCGTAATATATATATATATATATATATTTAACATTAGTAACAAGATAAGCATCCATTCCAGCAGGCCAAAGATGTTCTAACATTGATATTAATTTGAAACGTTCACAAAATTTCCAACCAAACTAATTTCACTATCATCTTTAGCAGAAGAATCTTTACAACATTTTAGTCTCGGTTCGGAATTGTAATACATATGAAGTATAGTTCAATTCTGAAATCAGAGATGACCTGTTTCTCCAAGCTGATCCAATAAAAAAAGATTTGGTTCCAACGTCTATTCCCTTTTTCTAACTCTCCAGATTCTTGAAAATAACTGCATTGATTAACCATTATGTTTTCTTAAAAGAACTTGATAAAATTGAACAGATAAAATATGGTTCCACAAAATCTTTCAGTAGAATTAGCGAATAAATATATATACATATATATCTTGTCACATTTCATTATATCAGGATACTAGTGATCATAATTATATTACGAGTCGCAAGTAATGTAACTATGCGCATAGGAGTTTGTCACTAGTAGAACAAATATTCAGATGATGGATTTTTCAATCGACAAATACGAACTCATCACAAAACTAAATACTCTACTGTTCTGTTTCTTAGTCAGGGAACAAGGTTGTCCGTCTCCTTCAAGGAGTAATAGTATGGTCAAGTTTGTAACAAGTCCAAATTCGAAGATATTTGACAAAAAATACCCTTCTTAAGTACTGTAAACTTTAAATCGATTAATCCTGTAGTTTAGAAAAAAGGCAAATTTTTAACAACAACTAACAATCAACTCAAAAACGACAATATCGGTCGGAGAAAAATCAATAGGCTCCTGGTCCTGGATATGATGAATGCACATGCAGAATCTGGAGCAGATTCAATCTCGCTCTCGTGAGATGTCGCGTGCATCTAACAGACAGACAGACAGACATACAGACAAATACCTATCAACATACTTAATCGATTAAAATCGATAAGTAATAACTAACCTGCTTCTATAGTTTATACCGATAAAGCATTGAGATTTAATTTTCTGTCTATCATGCCCTTACTCGCACCGGCCTTATATCAGTACCGGTATTTCAAATTCGTGTTCAACAGTAACACGGAACGCGGAAAAGGTTTGAATTGAACATGCCAGTGGCGGCGCGTGGTCATTTTGACAACCGGGGCAAGCTACTGCGGGACCAAGTCACCCCCATCTACGGGGACAGGATGAGCGCTGTAAGTTCTCCCATCATTTTATGAGTATAAAAACCATTCCATCGGTAACAACCAATCGGCAAAAGCGACAATTTTTAACGATAAGAAAGTGTCTTTAAAACCGGTCCAAGTCAAGGGATTAATAAATATAGACCTTTTTTATTTTGAAACCTCTTTCAAAAGGAAAGGCAATATTTACCCAGATAAATACAATGACATATTAACAGAAACTTCGGGAAAGCAGACAAAACCTAAAATAAGGTTTAAAACGTTACTATGAAGAAAGGAAAGTTATGCAAAGATAAGGACATGCGTCGCTCACTCATAGATATATATGCTGCTGGACTTCTACTGCTTGAACATATATGCAACACGCCGCGGTTTCTTGGAAGCAAAATGCTCAATAACGCGCTGAATGTTCGCTCTGCGTCGGCGGCAGAAATAGGCGTCGTCAAAATGATGTCCAGAAATTTTGCAGACGCCGCAAAGGTAGTTAGTTACTGAGTGTTATCTGTGATGAACCCATAGAGCGCGCAAGTTGATGTGATGTTCAAAAAATTTTGATTGGTGTATATACATCGCAATTCATTTTCCAATTTACCCACGTTTATCATGGGGTAAAATTTGGAGACAGTAGCCAACAAATGGATGGGAAATTGACGTGCAAATTTTGAAACATTTTTGGGGTTCATCAAAGAGAACGCGGCAAGGTGTTCAGTGCGCAGACGATCGCCTATTTGATTCACCAGAATGTCACAGCATTCCTTTGCAGACAAAATCAAACGCTGCGTTGTTTGCCCGCGGCGTAAAGAAGCACTCCATGTGTCGTCGTATTTTATTGTTTCCCGGATACGAGATACAGCATCGCAGAAGTCTGAAATACACGACTGCACAGACGCTCCATCCATTAGCCTTGACTGCAATGCGCCGTATAATACATCCACGTGATAGAATATTGTGGAGAAAAAATGAAAACTCACCATCTTCTAGCAGACGCTTTAGACCTGCCGCCTCCCTCACAGAGCGTTCGTCCCAAACCGGAGACCTCTGAATGCCATTGAAACACTCAATGAGCTCAGACCTAATTTCGGACACGCCCTGCACCACGCGTGATTGGAAGTTCCAACGTGTTGGTGCACAAGCAGGGAGACGGCGGCTACATATCTGGCGAAGGAGGTCAAAGCGCTTCGGCGAAACGGAAAAAAATGAAGAAAACCCCGAAACATTTGCAAAAAATATACGGACGAGAGGGTATCAAGACACATATTTTTAATAACGAGGTTAAATTGGTGTGCATAACAATGTAAAAAATGCGCATGAGGAAAATCTTCTTTTATATAAACTTGAACACCATGTTTCGACCCACTCATGACTGCCGCGCCGTCATAAGTTTAGGCTATCAATTTTGACTTCGCGTTGTAAAGCTGTAACACTTCTTTCAGTAAAGCCGATATCCCGCAAGCCGTGCGATCAACGTTTGGTACAAAGCTGTGAAATCTCTCGGTAGGTTTACTATCTCTCACAAACCGAAAAATCACAGCCAGTTGGGAAACGCATGTGATGTCAGTTGTCTCGTCAGACTGAATCGAAAGGAACTGGCAATTCTCAATTTCCAGAGCCAAATGTTGTAAATAAATTTTATACATTGAGTCGAGCAAATCATTTTGGATATCCTTAGATGTCCCTTTCGAAACAGTTGCGGCATCAAGATGATCTCTCAATACTGTATCTAGGGATGCGGTGTATTCCACCATATCCAAAAATACCCCTCTATTAGAAGAGCCAGCCCGTTCATCGTGCCCACGGAGGGACAGCTCGTGACAACCAATGAACTTCAAAACATCTATCAATCGACCGAGAACATGGCGGTTTTTCTCGACGTTTTGGTTGTGCCGACGAATAGAAACCGCGCGTCCTTCATCCAACTGTGCTGCAATATTAACATTTCCGAATGTTCGGTATTTTACTGCATTGTCCAGATGCTCCATAGAAGATTGATGATCCCTGGCACGCTCGGAAAGATGTTTAAGATCTCTAAAACCAAATTTACACCAACGTGAGTCACGGGCGGTAGCAAAAAGTAGGCAATAAAAACAAAAAAGTGCATTTTTGTCCTCGCTGTAACACAACCATTCGTGTTTTTTATACCAAGTTTCTGCGCAGAATGAACGCCGACGCTTTCCTCCGTCATGGGATTGTTCCAGTGAACAATTTTTGGTTGATAAGGCCCAAGACGTTGTACCTCTAATTTTTGTTCCAGCGGCAGCTGCGAAAACGGAGTGCGAAGTAGTGCACCAACCTTATTCATTATGAGGTCTAAGGCTAAGAAATGCGAAGCCGGAAAGAAGTGAGGAGCTCAAAAGGAATGTGGAAAATCGAAAGCAAATGGACTAAAGGTCTCTAACTGATTCAAATAGCGAAACAAGCGACAAAAACGAAGGCGAGGAAACTATCAACTCTTCAAGCAACCAACGAACGAGAAGGAATGCGTGAATATGTCAACACGTTGTTGTAAGAAACGTCGGCATTGTGTCGTCATAATTTCGGGGCTAGCCCCGATGATTTAGTAAAAGAAACAGAAAACAAACGAGACAAACGCGGCGAGTGGAAGATAAAAGAGAGAATACGATATACAATGAGCAACCGGGGCAAAATCGGCGTCGCCCCGTCGACGTTCGGCGAAGGCTTTGCGAGCGAAAAATGAACCATGTCGGGAGAATATGGCTAGTGTAGACAGTCTGTGCAACCGATATGGAGGTATTTTTCGAATATTTTTTATTATACCGAAAAAACAACCGGGGCATTGCCCCGGTTGGCCCTATTGACGCGCCGCCACTGGAACATGCTATGGTTTTGCTAAATTTATATTTGTCGAAATAACATCTCCCTTACCAGAAAAAATAAATAAATCCTGGTTCCCTTCGATTAACGGGAGTAACGGCGATTTCTCGAGTAACACGACGAAGCAACTGAGCAAGAGCGGAGCAGCTCATTTCAGAACCTCTTAGATAGGTGGTACAATGACGTGGATCGTTTTTTTGTATGACCTCGCGGGCTATTTTGAGATTTTAGTCGATCGCTGTCAAAAGCAGGCTGGCTACCCCTGACATGGTTAATAATTGACGAAAGCAGGCTGGCGACTCCTGACGTAGATAATAATTGACCGACATTTTATCGTCGTTTATTTATGCAGAGCTTGATAGGCGTAGTGCAGTTCATTTATTTTTTCTTCTACAATTGAGGGGCGGCAATGTTGCAGCTTGCAGCTACTTTATTCCTTGAAACATCAGAATAACTTAATTCGTGTGAAAATGGAGAATTTTTCGTTTTTTGACGCGAATTAGACCATTGACTCGTTTTTTTAAATTCTTATTGTTGTTGAGAAAAAAATTGCTTTTCTCGCAACTGACGGACCCATCGATTTCAAGTTTTCAGTAAATAAAGATGGCAGACGTCGTTAAAAATTCAGTATATATATACTTTTATTTTTCTTAAGTTCTCTACCCGTACCTGGTACCCGGTATTCGCCATAACATTTGCTGTTTCATAATAACTATAGGGGAATATTTTCTATTTTGTATGACTTGACAGCCTGGTATTGTATGTAATTAGGCCATACCGAAACGGTGCAAATTTGTAGACCATGCCTCAGTTGCGTATGTATGGAAATCGTGGCCCTCATAAATGCCGAAAAACACACTTTCATTAACAGGCAAATGTTGCAATTATCATGATATTCAACAAATGTATTCAACAAAATATTCTAATGTTTTTTCTCATAAGATTATCTTGAGTCGTTACTGAATTAGTCTTTTTGTTTTTGCGCAGTACAACAACCGTGGGTATTTTGTGATGGGCATTATATTTCATTTCACGTAAACACGTAAATCGCTCATGCGCATAGCCCTCGGAGCGCGATGTACTAAGTATAATAACTCCTTGTCTTAGAAATAGGTTATAGAAAGTGTCTTAGAAATATGTTACTGTTCAAATATTTTAATTCATTTGTCACGAAAGACTTGTGTGTTGTATTCGGTATGAAGAATCGCAGTAAGATCCAATATTATTGGTCCTTACTGGCGGAAGGGTAAAATAGTTTATTTTGTGCTCTGTATGTTGGTGCGAAGCAACCACCGAATCGAAGATTACGCTTAAGAGATTACGAATGAAAGCTTAATGAACAGGCGACGGAAAATCGCTCTAGAATGGAATCACGACAGATAGATTGAGAAAAATAACACGGGAGTTAACAGTAAATTATATTATAAGTTATGCCTTCGTGGCTTTCGCATCAATTAGGAAGCTATTCATTATTTATCTAATATAAAAAAGTCTGTGATTCGCATTTCACAAAAATGGCAATGCCTAACCGTAAAGATTCTTTTCTTTCCTAAAATAGCTCATTGTGTGGCGTACCTGTATTAGGCGCAGAAAGGTATCACCACTAAAGTTCTTTCTGCCAGCTTCTTGGACACTAAAATTGCAGTTAGCTTAACTATATTAATTATACAACTGCATTAGCTTAATACAACCAAATAAAATACAACAAACCATGAAAAACAGTACAAATACTGAGGAACAGCGGTTCTCAAAGGGTATGCTGCGGCGATTTGCTACATAACTAATATATGATTGAATATTTTACATATTGTATTCAATATAAATGCTTTGTTGTTTCTCATATAAATGATGTGTATCATGGTGAATCAATAAATGAATGAATCAATAAATTCAGAATATCTCTCCATATTATTAACTTTCTATTACGTAGTGTCTGCCTCTATTGTTACGTAACAATAGAGGTAGGCACTATAGTTGATGCAATTTTGTGAACTGCAGTTTATTTATCTTCTTAGCAGTTTATAGAACATGAGAGATTATTTAGTATTTCAAAGGAAAATCAGGCAGGCATGAGAAAGAAGAGTTGGCCTTTTGCTTTTATTCCTTAGTCCTACATGTTTGAAAAGTTTAAAGGGCATAAAGTACACGCTAACGATACAACGCATAATGTGGGTGGAAGTTGCACGAAGTAAAAAAGACTGGGATGAAGTTCTTGAAATGTTTGGAAAAGAATTTGTGGATTCAGCAATCGCAAGAAGATATTTACCAGACATTGAAAAAAGAAAACTTCTGATGCCCCTATTTGTTCGATACCTTTACGAGGTAAAAAAGATATAGCAATTCCCATATTGTTACTTCGTTCATCATCAATGTACTTATTTTTGCAGGCCCGTTACTCAGATAATCGTGCAGTAATGCTTTCGGTGAAAATGCACGAAAAGATAACAAACGGCCATGGCATTCAAGAAAACAGATCAAGAATTATTGGAGCATGGTTGAGTATTTATGATTTCATACCACGAAAAGCAGATATTACGAAAATGATTGATGTTGATGAAGATGGAACCACTCGGTTACTAAGGTTAGTGGGCTATCACGTGTGTATTCTATTATTCTTCGCGAAAATTGAATGTAGGTCAGTTTCGTCGAGCTTCTCGGTAGTTTAGTACGTCACATGTATGGTATATTGAATTAAACAAAATAAATAGATATATCTTCCCAAAAATGCCTATTATCTTATCATTTACTCGCATTTGCCGGCATGTAGTCTGTGAACCTTTATGCTAAATCCTGGTTGTTGGTAATATGGAGATGGTTGTTGTTCGATAAAATGACTTTTTTCCCGATAGTATCGTACCAATGGATTTCAATTTAGCCGCTAGAATGGATTTCAATTGAAGCCGCTAGAAAGACAGGCCTACTGTTTTCTTTTTTTCAATATCCTCTGAATCCTTAGAGATCCGATATTTCACCCACAATTTTTATTTTATCAAAGTTTAAAATTTTTTACTTGTCGTCAACGCTTATTTGGCGAATAAAAATCATCCATTATATGAATACTTTTTTGAACTGGACTTGTATCTCTGTGCTCATAGTTACACCACATGCAAATAATAATAAAAAGACGATCACTTGAATTATGATGTAATTATGTATGTGAATATTTATGCGTACTACTGAGAAAACTAATACAACCATGTTTCCCGTCTTTTCAGAATGGAAAAATGGCGGGAACAAAATATTCATCAAATTATTCATAAAGCTGCAAAAGATTTTGATATGAAAGCGATTTATGGAGCTCGCATAGCCGTGCACAAAGCTTATCGGGACGAAGGCATTTTGAAAAAACATACACGCCAAGCACAACAAATATTTTACGAAGAGATAAAAAAGAGGAATGGCAATGAGGATAAAATTTTTAGCTATTGGATCAGCTTGGAGAAAAAAGCCATTTCTGATTACCGAGTTGAACTAGCTCATTTGCATTACAATTTCAAACCGGGCCTAAGATGTTGTGAGGATTTTTCTTCTAAAGATGAAAGCGGAATTAGTTGTCATTTTGTTCTTGTTGAACAGAAAATGATTGAAAAACTACGCAAATATTTTCCTATTTTTAACAAATTATGATTGTCATTCTGTAAACTTTTGCAAATTAATATCAGTCTAATTATAGGTAAATTGTATGAGTACTTGTATCTGTTCTCTCACCTCTAGCACGAGTTCAAATAATCGCTCATATATATAATTAATGATAAATACTGTAAATTTGCTCAATACAAGGCCACACTCACGCAGAAGTAGACGTGACCCATATTTAGGCTTACCATACGTCCCGCTTTAGACGGGACAGTCCCGCTTTTTAGCGTCTTGACAAGTCAGGCAAAAGTCCCGCTTTTGCGTTCAGCCATCCAGCATAATACGCGAACATATTCTCGTTACTGTTGTTGCTGTGTAGCGCAACGCTAGCGTCCTTACTGCAGGTTAATGCGTTATTTTGTTTGTTTCGTTGTTTCCCGCTAACATTGTTATAGCGAACGTATCGCATGTAAAATCAATTCTAATTGGTCCTTTTCGGAAGTTCACGTGAATGTTACATTGGACAACGTTTTTTTAAATGTGTTCTCTACAGAAAAGCATGCTTGGGCGAATAAGCAAATTCTCAATGCTTGAAAACGGCAGACTATTTCTTTATTCCTTTTGCTGTACATAAAAAAATCTAATTCAATTCGTTTATTACTCCAGACCGCTGCGGTCCATATAAAAATAACACAAACAAATAAACATAAGCGAAAATAACACAATAAATACATAAAATACCTGATGCGACAATCAGATTAGATTCACAGTAGATCTCAACAAAGAGTTAAATACAGTAAACTAGAAGTCAAAAGTGAAGTATAGAATTCAAGATAGCCCGTCACAAACAGTATCTGGGAGTCAAATAATGGTTGTAATAGGATGTCATTGCACCTCGTTATTAGCAACCACAGATTTTTTCTATGAAGTGCTTCGAAAGAGGGAATGTTCCCAGATACCATTTTGTGACGGACTCTCACATTTAAAAACACAGTGAATTACGCGATAAGCATTATTATATGAAGTTTCAACTTTTTCATAATTATAATTATTGAAAAACAACCAGAGCTGACAGTTATAAATACTACAACAATACGTCCTAAATAAAAGATTTTTCACAGTAATGGAACAGTTGACAAATTTTTTCAAAATAGTATGGGCTATAAAATAAACTGATTTATACTGACGTTTCAAGTCAAGGTCATCTCTAAGATCATTGGATAGGAAAACACCAAGATGTTTAGTGGACGAAACATATGTCAATACAGAATTGCAGAGTTTGATATCAGGTAAATTATTCAGCCTAAACTTTTTATTCTGGATACACATACAAACAGATTTTTTCGAGTTGTACAAGATGTCATGTTCAATAGAGTATTTTTCGCATATGTTAAGTAAACGTTGATGGCCTTTGGATGAAGGTGAAATGCAACACATGTCATCAGCATAAAAAATATGATTGATAATATTGTTATTTGATACACATCCAATGGTCTCTTGATTCAGAGAGGTCATCCATGGAAACAGCATATAAATTTGGACTTAAGATACTGCCTTGCTTGGTACCATTATGGACAGAGAAAGGATCTGACACACTGCTACCCCATCTAACAAACATGGATTGATTACGATACATGTGTACAATCAGCGACAAGAATATTTTAGGGATTCTTCTGTTGATCAATTTACGAAATAGAGTCCAATGATTAACTTTATCAAAAGCTTTAGTGGCATCCAAAAAAGCTATAAAAACTGGTGATGATTTTTTGGAATAAAAGGTAGCTAGCTACTTTATTGTAAAAACGCACATGTCAGTCCCGTGACCAGGCTTGAAATCAAACTGGTTGTGAGATGCAGTTAAGTAAGACCCAATGTCATTTAAAATGCGTTTTTTAAAAATCTTAGATAAGACAGAATCTACTGCAACAGGCCTGTAGTTACTTGCACTACAAATGTCACCATTTTTGTTCTTAAATATAGGCTGAATAGAACTTGAAATTGAGGATGCTGGAATATAACTATGGTGCATACAGGTGGTAATGTCCAAACATAAAAGCACAGATAGAATTGGATGAGGATATGCCAAATGTTCCTTGGTTATCCCATCAGGACCAGGTGAGCAACCAGATTTAAGAAAAGAAACAATACTTGCAAGTGCATTGACAGTGAGCAAATAATTTCTAAAACAGTTATCAACATCAGAATTCAAAAATCCTAACTCAAAATTTTTATCATTTCCATTGGGGACACTTTTAAAAATTTCTTCAAAATGATTTTTCCACATATTAGTAATTTCATTCTGCCCATTGGCATCCCCAACAAATTTGGATCATTTGTATTGTTAGCGTCTATTCCTTTCTATTTTTTCGAACTGAACCCGATATTTATTTAGACAGAGAATATGCGCATGAACTGTCGATGACAATATAGTCAATGGAAACAGCCGGGATAGCTTATATGTAGGATATATAGTAAAATCGGAAACTGTAATGTTACAAGAGGCGTCCCGCTTTGAAGTCAAAAAATTATGGTAAGCCTACCCATATTGTTTCTTCGTCTGTTGCATAAAAGCCTATTCACGTACGAAAACATTCTAATCCTCTCTGAATGTTGTCTCCTATATAAACAAGTCAGTTGCGTTCGGTAGCGATACTAGTTTTGTCAGCGAGTCATATCAACAAGGCTAACCCATTCCAACTAACGGTAATGAACATCAGTACTATAGTAACCTAGCTGTAATCAACTACTTACAAGGTCCGAATGACAACAAGGCAACAATGATTTTGATGAGTCATCTCATTCATTGTGTATCAAAACTAGAGCAGCTATTAATATATTTTTGATACTGTTATTAACCCAAAACTAGAGCAGACTATTAATATATTTTTGATACTGTTATTAACCCAAAACTAGAGCAGACTATTAATATATTTTTGATACTGTTATTAACCCAGGAGTTAAGTATTATTATTGCAAGTGACGGAATAAATGATGTGGGTCGATGTAGCACAAATTAAGAAGACTGGGATGAAATTTGTGGAAGACAATTCGTGAATTCGGCAATCGTGAGAAGTTATCTACCAGACATCGACAATACCTGCACGAGATAAGAGCTTACAACATTTTAAAATAATGAAGTATACAGTATATATTACTTACTGCAGCGATTCCCAAACTATGGGTCGCGACCCACTGGTGGGTCACAAAAGGAATCTTAGTGGGTCGTCAAAAAATGTAAAAAGCTTTGATTAACTATACTGGTTGTTAGCATCGGTGGCGACTCGAAAACGTAAATCTTCAAACAAACAAAAGAAAAAATTCAATTTAAATTCTAATCTGTGAAAGTTTCTATTTTAAGATCTTATCGAAGCAACAAAAATTTGCTACACAAAGAACGACCATGTGGCTTTTTACGCATAGCAGTTTTGTACACTGTAAGCACTTCTTACCGTGTTTCCCCAAAATTTAGACAGGATATAGATTTATTTTTCTTTTGAAGAAGAACACTATGTTTTTTTTTGGAAGAGGTCTTTTGTGTTCATTTATCAAAAATAACATTGTAGAAAACGAGATGGGTCGCCATAAGCTGTAGTAATAAATAGTGGGTCCCAATTCTAAAAAGTTTGGGAACCACTGACTTACTGCATCAAGTAATACATAACAAACGTATTGCTTATCTTTAAATTTTTTACTCGGTAATATGGTGTGAAGGGGTAAGCCTTCGGGCTTCTCCGGGTGCCAATATAACAGTCATTAACTGCCATAAGTCCATATATTTGAAGTTGCACAATTATTGTAAGTAACAAGTACATTCATAACATTTATAAACGAGCAACGGCGTAAAGCGGCCAATCAAGTAACAAAGTCATTTAATGTGCCTTTTGTGTATTTACGTCATAGCTTGTTGTTTTTAACACGGACTAGATTTGTGATTATGATGTCATAATTGTTTTTTAGTAATTGATCTTTGCTTTTACCTGCCTGCGTGCTTGTTATTGCATTCCTGTGTTTAAGTGTCTAGCGTTAAGCTGCGTTATGCAGACTTCTGACTTTGCCGTAAAATAAACTGTAATATCACAAGTATAATAATTTGAGAAAAATGGTTACTATTTTATTGTTTTCGTTAAATCAGAATTGTAGCATGGCGTGCACAAAGTATCCATCAACTTATTGAAAATGCTGCAAAAGACCTAAAGATTAAAGCGATTTATGGCTCTCGAATGGTTGTGATAAAAGCTTACACATGCCACACACACAAATGTGTGCAAAATCGATGAAAAAATGATATGAGAACCAATGTTCCCTCTAATTTTTTGTAGTATGTGTGCGCAGAAATTTGGGTGTGTGCGCACTTTTTTGGAAATGACTAATATTTGTGCAAAAAACAATGAAGAAATATTGACGTTTCAACCAGGTAATAAGTGGGCCAACAACAAACTTTCTCAATCTGCCAATCGAGAACCTTGTTACATTACATCGAAATAGGTCTGTGCGCAGTAAATCTATGCATGTGCGCAGCCTCTGAAAGCTGTGTGCGCGAACACACGCGCACACGTTAGAGGGAACACTGATGAGAACAATACACCTTTCTTCAATTATTGGAATTGTTTGGAGAACAAGCTCACTGACCAGATATTTGAGATAGCTCATCCACATTATAAATACAAACCTGCACTGAAATGTTCCGAAGATTCGTCTGCAAAACATGAAAGAGAAATAAGCTGTCATTTTGTTACGACAGAGCCGGAAATGGTCGAAACACTTAGCAAATATGTTTATCTTCAAACAAATTGTGATGTTAAAAATCAACACTTATCTAAAAGGTATTCAAATTTCTTATATAGTCTACTACATAAATATGTATTGTGACTGCTATTGTAACATGTACGAGTCAGTCTTGTTAACCAATAATTAGCAAAACTCTCCAAACTCCACTGTACTTGTTAAAAAAGAAAAAAATAGTCAAAAGAGGGACGCTTTTTAGTCAATTTCACATGATGATTTTAATATATCGATTACCCCCTTTTGATGATAAATGTCGTGTTCAAATTTTTCTCGCAAAATCGCACACTGTCGTTTACTATCCTTCATCTTATTATCCAACTTCCTGTGTAAAATCGCATCAAAATTTATTTCAATAATTTTGTTCTCACACTAATTTACTCAAGATAAAGAGTAATACAAAATGTGATCGCATTGAAACCATCACAGGTTGTCACTGAATTTGTGACTGAATGCAAAAATTATTTTGAAGGAAAATATCTGAGAACAAAAAAGCAAAATATAACGATATAGGCACTTACGTCAACGCGTACTTGCAAAAATCAATTGATATAAGACTCGTGTGGTGGCGCAATTTTCACTCTAAAATTTGAATTGAAGCATAAATTTCTGGAGATATTCTTATTTTCACTTATTCAAAAGTTTTTTGTCTAGTAATTAAGGCAAATAGCTATTTTTTCCCGATAATCACAGCACCAACAAAAACTTTGCAAAACTATCCTCTGATCCACTTTAAGTCTTAAAATTGCAAACGACCAGACGGAAGAAATTCAAAACTCTGCAGTTGCCGTAAAAAATTGAGATTTCCTTCTTTCGTTTATTTTAGACTGAATTAGTAGATTCGTTCAATAATTTCTTAATTTAGGGAACAACTGATCCTTGAATTACGACAGAGATCGGTGATTGTACTTGGACTTTTTTAGATTATATATTAGAATATGATGTAAAAGCGGAAAAAGGTAGATTGGGGTTATATTCTGCAATGATTGACTAAGCAATTTTGTATACATGCGGAAAAATACAAAAAATTGAAATATCGGGAAATTGAATAAATATATAACATGACAATTAGAATGAATTGTTTGTTTCCAGTCCTAGTTACCCCTATATCTCTACAGAAAATATGGATCGGAGAAGCAGTATGATGTTATCTTATTACCTCATTATCTTTTTCGTGTTCTAAAGTGCCCAAAAGCGAAATTATTTATCACTTCGTATTGGGTATTTCCAAAATTGCGATACAGTTTGACACGCCGTACTGCTGCACAAAATTCGATTCGATTTTACACAAGATTTCGCAATCCCATATTTCGCAACAAGTGTGGTAATACGATAGCCACGACAATAGTTAATAATGAATATATGAATAGCAAACTTGGCATTGATCGGAAAAAGGAATAATGCAAAGTGATTTTTAATAGCTATATATATATAACATTGAGTATTGTAACATTGAAATTAGTAGGAAGGATTATTAACTACAATTTGTTCAAAATAGGAAAATATTTACGAAGTTTCTCCACCATTCGCTTTTCAACCAAAACAAAATGACAACTAATTTCACTTTCATCTTCTGCAGAAGAATCTTCACAACATTTTAGTCCCGGTTTGAAATTGTAATGCAAATGAGCTAGTTCAACTCTAAAATCAGAGATGGCTTTTTTCTCCAGGTTAATCCAATAAAAGAAGAATTGGTTCCTATGATCATTCCTCTTTTCTACTTCTTTAGAAAATAACTGTAGTGATTGGCTAAATCGGTTTGTCAAAATGCTTTGACCCTGATAAGCTTTGGGTACAACTATACGAGCTGGGTAAACAGCTTTCATATCAAAATCCTTCGCAGCTTCTTGGATAATTTGATGAATATTTTCTTCCCGCCATTTTTCCATCCTGAAATGAAAGAAAATAACTGGCTGTACAAATTCCTTCAGTATTATCGCATATATATATGTCTTTTTAAATTTCAATATATCAGGATACTAGTCATCATCATTATATCATGAGTCGCAAGTCATGTAACTATGTGCACATGAGTATGTCTATAGTTCAAGAAATACTCAGATGATGCATTTTTCATTCGGCAAATACGAACTCATGACACGTGATAATATTAAATTTTCAACACAGAACTAAATGCTCTACTGTTCTGTTTCTAGTTTGGGCATCGGAATGCCCGCATCGTTGAAGTACTAATAATTTGATCAAGTTTGTAACAGGTCTAATTAAGAATACAATTGGAGAAATAAACAATAGCCTTCTAGCAAATTCTTACATCTTTAGGTACTGTAAACTTTAATAAGTTGATTAGTTCATAAGTTTAGACGGAAAGCAATTTTATGACAATAACAACAATCCAACAACAAGAACTTAGTAAAAAGATTCATACATGCAGGGTCGGATCATGCTCATTTTGTGCCCTACGCACTTAAGATTTTGGTGCCCCCAAATGTGTCATTCAAAATATTTATACTTGATTTGAAACCAGGGGTGGCCAACACATCGACCGCCACGTTTCGAGTAGACGATTGCGTCTGATGTTGAGCGAATTTGAAGTTATACCTCTGAAAATTGATTTGAAATAGTTCCATACAGCTCCTATTCTGTTTTTTTAAACATATCATACATTACTGTAGCCTGCTTGCTCAACATATGATATACACATACATTATTTGAGTCTGCACAAGCCCCATGGGGCATTTTATTGCGTAACAAATGCAAGTTTCGCTGCTGCCAAGGTTAAAGATTGAATGTACCGATTCTCGGGTGTCTTGGCGGTGTTGACTGACAAACGATCCCACAATACCTTTTGCAGTATGCAAAAGTTATTATTTCACTCCAAGAATAGTATGATAAATTGTGTTCGCAACGGTAGCAGTGGCATCAAAATGTCAAATTCCAAGCGATGAAGGAATCGAATTTGGAACAAATCATAATATACTGAAATTGTAGCAGTCGTATAACATTTAGGGTTATAGAAAATATATATTTTTCGCTGTTAAGATATTACGTGGATACTTGGCAAGGTTTTTTGATGAAATATCAACACCTCAACGTGACTAAATTATGACTAGAAAATTACGCGGGCCCTAAATCTGAGTTATATGATTTGAATAAATCTTGAATAAATCATGAAACATTTACTCAGGTACAATTACATAATCAAATTGACAAAATAAATGGAATGTGAAAAATATGAATTTTTTGTGGCGATTTCATTAAAAAAGCACAGGGCTGAACTTATTGGCCTCGCTGGAATTTTTTGTATGCGTGTGTGCTGTTATCCGCATATTCAGTACTCATTCGTTTTTGTGAATTCCCTTATTACCGATCAGTCGATCGCGAGCTATTTTGAAAATTTTGGTCGAAAGCAGGTTGGCCACCCTTGCAATGAACCATCAAAACAATCAGTAAAAAAGCTTTTATCAACATTTTTAGGTTTTCTTACAATTTTGTAAAAAGCAATGCCATACTACGTGAAACCAGGTTTTATTTAACTGATGTGACAATATATATATGGTTTTAATATATTCTGGAAGAGTGTAACGATGAAAATCCATGCGTCCAGTCTTAACGTGAATCGAAATTTTAAAGGATCTCCTCCTTCGTTGCGTGTGCTGCGTCATTCATAATTTTGATAATTTCGTCACATGAAACTTCGGGTTGAAAATGAATTCAATGGAAGCCCCAAAAGAGTTTCCAAATGAATAGTCTAGTTCTAGCACCAACAACAATCTTTAACCAAAAATCAATTGGTCCAATAGTTGAAAAGTAAAGCGATTTTTTCAAAACAAAAATGCAATAACAAGGAAAATACTGAGAAAAGCAACAACAACATTTTACCCAAACAATTCACAGATATCCATTTCTTGTCCAATTAGTAGGTTTCAGTGGTCATTACTAATTACAGGCCAAATATGATTATGTGACATGATTTTTTGAAGATAGTTCGCAAACCTACAAGCAATAATAGTAGGGGTTAACATGATACTTGAAGATGAAATTAAGCCAACATTTTAAAGTCTGAGTCGTCTGACCAACTCTTAAATTTTGTTAAACATCGATGCACTATCGAAAACACTACTATAAAAATCTTAGTGGTGCCTCCCGTTGCTTAGTGCCATAAGCGCGTGCTTATGGTTAATCCATCGCTGCATACATGTCACAAATAAGATTGAATAATAGGAATCTATAGGAAAATGTATAATATTTAGCGTTTTTTACACTATAGATATAACATCTGTGCTTATTGAAATGATGTATATATTATATGTACATGGTAATGACTACTGACTTTAATAATCGAGTGGTTCCATCTTCATCAACATTAATCATTCTCGTAATATTCGATTTCCGTGGAATAAAATCATAAATAGTCAACCATGCTCCAACAATTCTTGATCTGGCTTTTTGTATGCCGTAAGCGTTTGTAAAATCTTCACGTGTCTTTACTGAAATCAGTATTGCACGGTCATCTGAGTAACGGGCCTGCAAAGATAAGTAAATTGATATTGAACAAGCAACGATTTGGGAAATCTTATTTATGTTTTTACCTCATAAAGGTATCGAAAGAATAGGGGCATCAAAAGTTTTCTTTTTTCAGTGTCTGGTAAATATCTTCTTGCGATTGCTGAATCCACAAATTCCCTTCCGCAAATATCCATAACGTCATCCCAGTCCTCTTTACTTTGTGAAACTTCCAGCCACATTATACAATATATACTTATTTTTATTATTATTATTCTAAATAATTTCAAAAATTTATTACAAATATTAACCAAAGTATCAAAATTAGATGCAATCTCTTTTTTTCAAGGATGACGGGTTGCTTTCCCGTTGACCGTTTTAACCCTTTAAAATTATTTTTTTATTGAAATGAGGTATTTACGATGCCGATAGCATATATACAAAAAATATTGACGTCAACGTCGAGTTCTGAGACGTTGTTCGGCAATAACATCTTGAAAGAAAGGTGATGAGTGAATTTCTTGAAACCCCCATTACTGCAATGAAACCACTAATAATGTAGACTAACATTAATCAACTTCACAACGAAATGGGCTATATGTTCCCTAAGTCCCGAAAAAAGCTTCATTTCCAGTTTATGTAAAAACATTCCAAACCAATTTTTTCTCTTTTCCGATCATGAATGTTTGCTATACTTGTTCCCCTAGCGAGCAAAATTTGCTTCTACAGATTTTTTTATTGATAGAAAATGTCTAAATATATTTATATCGTTAGACTGAGATCTATTGGATAGTCTTGATAAGATGTGGACATTGATAACGATTGTCTTACTAGTTCTTTTCTAGATAATGATGGGGATTTTGCAATAGCAGAAACGTGCACACATTTAATTGATTCTTCTGATGATTACCCGCACTAGCGCACAGTTCAAAATCAATGCATGGACGACAGCATATCATAAATATTTACACCTTCAATGTTTGCTATACCCTCCGAACATCGCCCATGTAATTATATTCAGATACCGATCTTTACTGTGGTCCATATATATATGTGTGTGTGTTAAAATAGGCTCATATGAAACTATTGGTTTTGCGTGTCAATATACGAATCCTCTTCTTAGTTGCCTCACAGATTTATCATAATTGCATAACCATTTGTTCGCATATAGAGCTGGGCATTTTCAAATACCTAGTGGTTTCAGAATTGAATCAATATTTTTCGAATCTCGATTATTTGAAGAATGGTAGTTGAGTGCGGCTTGTTAGTGAATTACTGAAAACATACACCCCATCACTCAGACAGTTGGTTTTGTGTTCAAACAAAATAAAAAAAACTTGTTCCATCAATAAATCACTCGCATATAAGTTTGTGTTGAAAAAATTATGCCTCAACAAAAAAATATCTGCTCCAGATCTTTAGTGAACAAAAAAAGATGGCGTCGATTCGAAATTTTCGCCCGAACCGATTCCAAAAAATTACTATTCGATTTGAAACACCCAACTCTATTCACATTTGGCAACGTTGGAAATCAAGTGCAAGATTTATCATCAATATAATGTATATTTTAATTTTTCAAACTCCAAGAGTTTTATGCAATTTCACCCACTCCAAATTTTTTCAAACTTTCAAACTAAAACATAAGATTTTAAAGATTTTAGTCGATCGCGGTCGTCGTTTATTGAAAATCAGAAAATGGGTCTTGTATCTTGCATTTACCAAGACAGATAATGAAAGCATTATATTAAAATACATGCTGGAATTCGAATGCGCCAGAAAGTTACGTTACATGCAGGGACGTGTCAAACTTTTCTGCTACCCGGGGCGAGTTTCTCATAATACTGCCTCTCATACTTAACTTCAAAAATGATAAGATGGATAAACAAATTATAAATGTTGTTATACATGAGTATAAATCAATCAGTGATCAAGTAAGAGTGAAATATTTGTATTAATATTATTTCAATCATCAAACTTAGAAACAAACTCACCCCTAAATCGGTGCTTCCCAGGGCTACTGCCCCCATGGCCCCCACCTAGACACTCCCCTAGTTTTATGTTATACGCAACTTTTGAATTGGCCCTTTCCCAATCCGCTATTTTAAAGCTGTTTTTGATGATAATTGAATGACTGATCGGTAATAAGGTCTTACACAAAAACGAATGGGCACTGAATGTGCAGATAACTGTACACCCGCATACAAACAATTCCACCGCTGCCAACAAAAAGGCTATGTGGGCACATTGTTATCAAAATCGACACAAAATTTGTATTTTCCATGTTCTATTTAAGTTGTTGATTGATTATTTAATTGTACCCGGACTAAATGTTTCATTATTTATTTAATATTTATTCGAATCATACAATTCAGATAAAAGGCGTGCCCAATTTTTAGTCGTAAGTGTTGAAAATTCTTCAAGAAACCTTGCCAAGTATAATCCAAACAGCAAAAAATAAATATCCTCGAACCATGAATGTTACATGACTGCTCAGAATTCAGTATCCAATTTACAATTTCCTCCAAACGCGATTCTTCGCTTGCTTAGAATTAGAACAAATGGGCATTTTGATGCCACTGCTACCATTGCGAATAAACTTTATCACACTACTCTTGCATTACATTTGCATATTGCGGAAGTGATTGTACAATCGTTTGTCAGTCTATCTAGAACTCTTGACTTCATTTTTAAACCCTGGCGGAGGAAAACCTGGCCTTTGTTACGTAATAATATGCTTTATCGGGCTTTCCCAGACTCAAATACGGTGTGTCAGCGGTTCTGAAACTTTTTGCTCATGCGGAGCCAAATTATCACGAAAAAAACTCACGGCGCACTTATACGAAAAAAATGCTGCTTTTCAAATAAAACTCAATGTTATCGCCAATGTGTACTTTATGCATTATAAAGTTTGTAAACACGTAGGCACAAGGAATAAAAGCAAAGAGTAAACTCTTCTTCCTCATCTCTGCTCTATTTTCCTTCGAAATGCTGGAAAAATCACCCATATTCGCTAAACTGGGTTCAGTAGATATATAAACTGCAGCTCACGAAACTGCATCAAGTAGTTACTCCCTCTATTGTTACTTAACAGAGGCAGACACTACGTAACAGGAAGTAAACGACAATAGAGGCAGACAAGACACTACGTAACAGGCAGTAAACGACATAGAAAAGTAGAATAAATTTATTGATCTATATACACAGCATTTAAAATAAGAAACATTTATGATAAATACATTATCTAAAATATTCTGTTAATTTTTGCAGCGCACCTAGCAACTCGTCACGGTGCACCCTTTGGGAACCGCTGCTGTATGTGTATATTGTATTTTGCGCATGTCAAATACTGTATTCTTCCTGTTGTAAAACACACAACTGGTTCGAAGCAATTTTGGGGGGCATTTTAATAAAATTCACTCAACATTAGACGCGATCGACTGTTTGAGACGTGGCGGTCGACCAGTCGATCGCGATCGACGTGTTGGCGACCCCTGAGCTAGCGTATGTGGATCTGTTCGTTAATTCTCGAAGCGGGATATTGCGATTTATTTTTCATTTAAACGTGGAATTCTGCAAGAAAATTCAATCCACGAAGGAGTTTGAAATGGACGTTATCGTCGTATTTCGTATCCATATTAATATATATCTCTTTATTAAAACTAAATCCGTGAAAAGAGTATCAATTCTGACCTTATATCCGGATGATTTCAATATGTTTTTCACAATTTATAAAAAAGTTTTGACGGGTCTGCTTGTAAGTTCCAACTTGCATACTGAAATCGAAGAAAATACGTTCGGACCGAAGTGGGTTGGGTAGGACTCGTATTTGATTACGTTGTCACATTTCTTTCATTACTGGATCACATATCTCTAGTCTAGATGAAACATTCTAGAAGGAAATAATTTCCCTAGTTAATTCGATCATCTCTCTCAATCTGTCTGTTATATTTCATTTCTTAGTAACTGCGGAATTGCCTCACAACTGGAGCTTTCTGCCGCACCTGTTCATCAAGCGTGATCGTGAACACCTATACTGTGATTGAATCGCATCGATATACAGCGTCAGAATACATAATTACACATACATATTACATGATGTAGGTGAAAGTTTCACAGAGTAAAAAAGATTGGGATGAATTTTTCGAAATTTGTGGAAGAGAATTTATTGATTCGGCAATGGCAAGAAGATATTTACCAGACAACTATAGAAGAAAACTTTCATACCGTTATATTTCAAATACCTGTACGAAGTAAAATATTGTAACATTGTAAAAAAATATTTACGAATATTTTCACTTTGGCAATGTATTTCTTCTATTCGCACAGTCTCGCTATTCGTTTGGTCAAGGATTGCTGGTTTTGGTGAAAAAACTAATTGAAATAACAAATCAAAAATCGTGGCGGGGCTTATTCGAAACGGATTGCGCGGTACCCAGTTATACCAGTAAAGATAGGGATTTTAACCGACAAATAAAATTTGGTTAGAAAATAAATTCGTCTTCGCGTTCTATTACCGCTCAACTCAGTAAAAGCATCACAATTTCAGTAACTTTATTTCATGAGTAGAGCGTATATAGAATAAACACGTTGATCCATAAATGATTGTAATTTATATCGGTTAAAATTAATAACTCAGTCAGAAAATTAGCGCTGGCTTATAGAAGAGCATCGTTATCGCATATGTTGTGGTAGCCTGAGCCAGCCCTTGTTCAGATGCACGCATGTATAATAAATACATTAAGACGTTCTGTAATCTGAAATCAAAACGCAGAAAAAGCTATTTTTGTTCTAAGATGCATATTTAACAGTGAACTCAGAATATGTTGATTTATATTAATTGGAAATACACAATTATAAATGGACTAGATGTCGACGCAAACAAGTAAAGTTACTATTCATGTCAGAGGATAACAATCCACAGTTGAGTGGTTGAGAACTGAGGTGATTGCGATGCAAAAAGCATGTGCCGGATGCTGCTATCAAACAAATGTATATTATGTATTGTTCAGGTTACCAATGTTACGTCCGGAAATAAAAGAGGTGTTTGCAAAAATACCTCGTCATGTCGAAGAGCTTAATAAGTCTATAGCGGAAACTTTCTCCGCAAAGGCGAGAAAATTTCCATCGTATTTCTTGGCGCTTGACGGAAGCACTGACATCAAGGTTACTGCTCAGTTGGCGATCTTCTTGCGGGGAATTAATAATGATTTTGAAATAACTGCAGAGCTCGCAGCCATTGTTTTTATTAAGGGTACGACTAATGGCA